CCCTTTTCCTTTCCCTTATTTTGTTTCTTCATTTTTGAAAACGATACATTTAATTTGTGATATGCTTCAAAGAAAGCATATCCAGGTCTTTTGGCCATAGCCCAGTCACAGCGTACCATCTGTCCCTCTTTTTTCTTTTTTCTTCTTCTTCTTCGTCTTCTTTTTTCTTTTTTTCTTTTTTTCTTTTTTTTTTTTTTTTTTTTTTTAAACTAAAAAAAAAAAAAAAGATCATTTTTTTTCTTCCTTAGCTGTTCTTGTTCTGGACCAAAGCCAAGGTGGTCTGGAGAACAGTTGCAGACATGCAGAAGACAACATGGAATATCTTCTTTTTTGTCTTTATCTTTCAAAAAAAGGTTTTTTGTTTTTGTTGTTCTCCAATTCTTTTTTTCTTTTAACTTCATAAAGTTGAAAATGGTTTTTCCCCCCCTACAAAATTACAGCAATGCTTTTTTTCCTTGTTGTTTTTTGTTGTTGTTTTTTCTTGGATTTACCCCATCTCTGGATTTTTGGATCTTCTGATCTTCAGGCTTTGGAAATGAAAGGTTAATGAGTCGTCATTCTTGGTGGTGTATGGTATTGCTGGTTTTTTATACTTTGACAAAAATGTTCACTTCTTTTATAATTCTTGTTTTGTATTTTTCTTGGGTTTTGTGACACCACACTGCTAATCCCACTCGTGGATTTTGATGGGTGTCTTAGGGGGGGCCCTCCTGAGGTCCTCAGCAGTGGTTGGTTGGTTCTTCCTTGTTGGCATAGACCATGCTTTTAAACTTTTTTTTGTCTTCTAATTCAACTGCTCTTTGTTTTTCAGCAAACGTACTAAAAGATTGTAAGTTGTGGCAAACCATCTTTCTTTTCTTACCAATCTGCATGTCTTAAGGGAGTTTTATTTCTTTAAGAGAATATTTTGATAATTATGAATGACTAATGCAGTTTCTTTTTTTTTACACTTTAAGCAGCTTTTTTGTTCTTGCTGCACATTTTTGGCTTTCTTCAGCAGAAGACTTTCTTGAAACCTATCCTGTCTTTTTTGAGAGTACCACCTTTTGCACTACTTTTATTACAAAAAATAAACAAACTCAAAAATAGAACAACCCAACAACTTAATCTCTTTTGTTTTATTTAAAAGCCATACTTCCTTGAAGCAGTCTCACCCATCTTCATTTTAATGGTCGAGGGGGAAAAAAAAGTATTGTTTAAAAAGTGATTTTTTTTGCCAAATGCAAATTGTTTCCTGTGCTAGCACTGATGATGTGAAAAAAATAATCTTTGTTTTTTTCATCGCATCATTTTCTGTCTGTGCACCTTAGCAAGAAAATGAACCGACGTTGAGTGGACCTTCGCATACAGGGCTTTTCGTATTGTTAAGCGGTGTATAATTATGGGTCTAGAAAACCTTCTCTGACCATCTCTTTGGCTATATATTTTATATTCATACAGGTGCCCTCCAAATTGAACTGAGCGAAGAATCTGACCAAGGCAAATATGAGTGTGTTGCAACCAACAGTGCGGGTACACGCTATTCTGCCCCTGCCAATCTATATGTCAGAGGTAGGAATGACATAACCCTGGCATCCGCTCTTCATTCAGGCTCAGGGGGTGTTGAGATACTCTCAGGGTCTGTGCAATTAACATAGTAATAAACAAACTGCTATGGTAGAAGTAACAGTAACGGAATATGTTTTAAAAGTTTAGAGGACAGGGATTTTTTTAAAAAGCACTCTTGAGTTCAATCTATCCTGTGACTTAAGGTTTGTAAGTATGTTTACACTTTTACATCTTGGCTTCTATTATTCCTGCATTGATTTAGACCCGTGCTTTGCATTTTTTTTATTATTATTATTTTGTTTTGTTTCTTTCTTTTGTGTTTTCTTTTCAAACTCCTGAGGTAATTGCTTGGTATGCTACTAATCAGCTCTGGGTGTAACTCCAAGGCAACGAGGTGTATGTCTACATAACCTCTGCTGCCGAGTTGCAAAGGAAAAGCTTCAAACTTTAAAATAATATATGCAGATCACAATTGTATATTCTTCTTCCTTTTCTATTTCTTCTTTACATACATACATATATATATATATATAAAAATTTGTGGGGAGGTGCGCGCACACACACACACATATCTCTATATATATATTATTTAAACATTATCGGAAAAGTGTAATCCCTTCCACTGCAGTAATGAAACTGGCTGTACCTTAAAAATGAATTGCTTGTCTATATGACAGGTATGAATTATGAGGATACATTCATATTTCCCTGTAAAGTAATAGAAATGATTAATTTTAAAATCTGTGAAAGTGTTCTTTTGATTTCAAACAGAAAGAAGTAGTTCCTCTTTGACAGTATTTCTAACAGCTGGTTCATGTAGCTTTCTGTACAATATAAGGCCTATACATCAATACCTATATACATATTTTATATATATATATATGTGTGTGTGTGTATATATATATATATATATGTTTACATATATATATATATATATGTCTACAAACTAGGGGTGGGGTGTGGAAAATAGATGTGAAAGCTGAAACAGCTTTAAGCTCGTTACTGTAGTGCGGGTGATCTTACCAAAAATATCTAGCTTAATCTTGAAATTTTTGTTAGAAGTAATGTTTCAATCAACCTTTTTTGTTTTCTTTTTTGTTTTGTTTTGGGTGGTTTTTTGGCCCAAGAAAAGATTCATGGCATCCTTAGAAAGTTGTTTGATCCTTTTTCCCGCCCTCAAAAAAATACTGACTTTCCTGTACTGCATGAAGCATGTGTACCTTTTTTAATCCAGAGGAAAATTTCAAAATGATGCTAGCTATTGTTTCTAACACCGTAATAGCGGCGAGAAATTGCTAACTTTTCAAGCTGACATAGGAAGGTTTAATTAGAGCAAATAAAGATGTTCAAGTAGCAGTTGAAAGCCTTGATATGGCCTTTTTACTCTCTCTGTGTTTCCCTTGTTTTTCTCCTTTCCTCATTTCATTGTGTTCTGCATCAAACCCCCTACATCCCTCAGAGCTGCGAGAAGGTTGGTGTGTTTTTTACTTTTTACCCACCTTACAAAACTATTAATTAAACCAATAACAAAGAATACAAATGAAATGAATGTAGCTGCATTGTGGCCTTTTTTAAGTTAATGTTATGTTTAAGCAGAGAATGCCCTGGTCATGGCTTTTGATGCGTGCTGATATCTAACTGTTGTGCATGATGAGAATGAACTTGGGTGCATGGCAACCTGTAACTTTTAACACTAAGGTCTGGTAAACTTGGTCAGTGTTCCTGCTTTTTTCTTTTCCTTTAATTTCTTGTTTATATTGATGCCTGCTGTTCAAGAATGATTTCCCTGCAATTGCTTCTCTAAGCAGCCCAAGCATGAAAACTAAACTCCCCTCTGTTTAAAACTATTCCGTTTGATACTACAAATTCCACCTTGCCTGCTTCTTGCTTTGTGTGTGGCCTCTGAATTGGCTGCTGAAGGCATGTTATGCTCTTTGCTTGTTTCCCCATGCCTGTCATTCACTCACGAGGCCATCGCAGTAAGCCCCTCTTGAGTCAATAGTAGTTCACCAAAATTTAACTAAATCCAGCAGAAAGGTTTCAAACTAATACAATGTTTCTTCTGTTACTCATAGTCTGTTATTTTATTTTTTGTTTTTTTGCTGAATTAAAAAAAATGTTTTACGATTAGCTTCTGGTTCATCAACCTCAAATAAATACAGTGCAGAGTACTTTGTCCAATTAAAGGCCTAAATACAAACCTACCTCTCTGTCACTTCTCCCTCTGCCTCCTCCCACACACATGTGCGCACACACAGAGAATATCTGAAGCAGGAACACTGATTTATTGTTGCCTGGTAATTTTTTCTCGGTGTTGTGTTTGCTTAACTAATAACTATTCTGTTAATGCGATGTCCTGCTATGTGTTTTCAATCAGCTGCCCCTCATTTTGAATATAGAAAACCTCTAATATGACTAATCCTAGTAGCTTACTTTGCTTTCCTTACATGCAAACACAGTAGAACCCTGAATGTTAAATGTTCTGCTCTTTCCCCAGTGGCCCCACCTTATAGATGCTTCATAACAACCTGAGCTTAATCTAATATCCTCCTCCCTCCAACCCTATCCTCCTTTAAATTCCTGTTTCTGTCAACCCATCCAACCCCCAGTTTTTAGTTTTATTCTTTCTCCCAATAAGTTTTCCTTTTTGGTTTTAGCAATTTTGTTTCTTTCTGTAATTTTGATTCTCCAACATTTTCCTGAGCATGATTCTCTACAGATTCTGTCATTTGCTTGCCTGCATGACCAAATCCAGTACTCATACTGGCTTTGCCTTGTTTCTTCTCCTGTGACTATATATATTTTTCTATGTTTGTTTCAGTGTTAGTGTGAGGTCTTGAGGCTGCATCCACTTTGAGTCTGAAAGCAAATCAAATTGCACTTTCAGTGTACTGTAGGTGATGTGTTCCAGGGCTGTGATGTGACAATGTGGTCCAGCACATTTATTCACATCAACTGGAAGTACGCAGCATTGAAGTTGGTTTTGGTACTCAACTCAAGCATGCTGTTAACCCTCCAGTTTTCTTCTGTGCATATTATATATAAATATATGTATATATGCATACAAACTACATGCATATATATATATATATGTGTGTGTGTATCTTTTGCATGGTGTTTGTGTATTGTTAGTATATAGTTAGTCAATTGTGGGCCCCTAGTAGGTCTGAATCAACTTTTGTATGAATGTGTCTAATGATATCAACAAGTAAATATAGAATAATTTACTTTTTGTGCAGACACTATACTTGTGTAGTCTGTATATTTTATTTTTTGGCAAATTGAATAACATGTTTAAAATGTTACATTGTGTCTGTACAGTGCATGTAGTCTATATGCAAAACTCATTTTCCCTTTTTGTATATGTTATTACTTTTTTTGTGTTTTGTTCCAGTTCGCCGGGTCCCACCAAGGTTCTCTATCCCACCTACCAATCATGAGATCATGCCAGGAGGGAGTGTTAACATCACCTGTGTTGCCGTGGGGTCACCAATGCCATATGTGAAATGGATGCTGGGGGCTGAAGATCTGACGCCCGAAGATGATATGCCAATAGGGAGGAATGTCCTTGAGCTTAATGATGTCAGGCAGTCTGCAAACTACACTTGTGTTGCTATGTCCACCCTTGGTGTTATAGAAGCAATAGCACAGATAACTGTCAAAGGTACTTTACATATATAATCTGTATATACGTAGACATGACTTGTTCTTTGTTTTTCTGACAAAGTTGTTCAATATTGATCACTTCCTTAAAGAAGAAGATGATCTGTATTGGCTCCAAGTAGTGGAAGTGTGTTTAGGTAGGGTAACTGTACTCGGCACCCAGCACTGTAAGTCACCTTGTTACCCACTGCGTCCAGTGAGATGAAGTCTTTCTTTGGTGCTCCCTGACACCACCAGCCTTTCAACCACTCAAACACTCTCCTCTGGGCTATGCAAGCCCTACCTTTGCCTTGTAGATTAACAGTAGGTGCACCCCAATACATGAGTCCCTTTGATTCATTCTCCTGTGATATCCAGTCCTGTCACTGACTACTCACCAAAAACCCTCTGCACCCAAGGATGCTGTGTATCCCAGTTTTACCTTAAACCGCCACTGCTGTGAGCACTTACAATAAAACAAAAGCAGATTTATTTAAGAAAGAATAAAATTTCATCTAGAAACGAGAGAGTCTGGTGCAAATAAATGTTTACAATACAAAAATAAATCATAAGCTGTGAACCTGGGCCTATACTTATCAATAGTTACCTTTTCTGGTCTAATAAAGTAGATTTCGCTCCCTCCCCCCAACATTCAGTCTGTTGCACAACGGGATGGTTTCTCAAGAATCAAGATCCACATGCTCATTAAAGCACTCCCCGTCCACAGGTGGTTTTGTCAGTGAATGGATAGTGCTTCTCCCTCCTCTGCATTATACTGCAAACAGCCTTTTGTTTCTATATCACAGACAGGGCAAACCCCTTGTTGTAAAGCTCCTTTTTTTTATCTTCAAGTGGTATTGATAGTTGCCTCTTAAGGTTTACCATTCAAAGTCTTAGTATTGCACATGGCTAAACAATTGAGCTTTGCATTATAACACCTTACCCAAATGGGCCATCACCAAGACACATTATCTCCTGATGACTAATTTCTACTCCAAGTCCATAAAGCACATTTTCAATATTAATACATTATTCCTTAAATATTACCTGTCTGTACATCTCACAACGATCAAGAATCTTCACAAGTTGCAAGCTTTCTGTCGGTACCTTATATGTTACTCTTTATGGCCAAATGTCCTTAAGACGTGTTTGGTGTGTGAGTTTGTCTGGTCTGAAGTGAGAGTTGTTTGCAAAGAACAGGGGACCCTTTGCCAAGGGGTTCCATGTAGGATTACCATATTTCAGGTTCCCAAAAAGAGGATGCTGGGGGAGAAGGGAGCATTGGAGGTGGGGTAGAGTTGGGGGTCCTGGAGGGAATATTTTGTGGGGGTCCTGGAGAGGTGTGTATGTATTGGGAGGGGTATCTGGGGGGTGCTGGACGGCATATCTGTGGCAGGAGTACTCAGTGGAGGTGGGGGGCAGTGTCGTTCGCTGCCCCCGTGGCAAGTGCTAGCCCAGGACCTAGCACCAGCTGTCAGTCAGCGCCTCCCTGCAAGGCCCCCTCAAAGGCCTGGGAATCAGGGCTTCAGGGGAATGGACCAATCAGCTGGGGATGCAGGAAGGGACCAGTTGGGAAGCAGACCAATCGGGGCTCATTCTGAGCTATAATGTCTGCTCTGCAATAACCCCAGACTTTGACTCTTATTTCAAAAATCCACCCAGATGGAGAGTGGACTACCAAAAAAAAAAAGGTAATGTCCAAGAAAACCCGGACGCATGGTAACCCTATCTCCATGTCACACGGGTTGTGCAACTCAAATGCCCAAGTGGTGATGCCCTGAGATATATGCAGAGCAGAATGATTTAGGGTTGGTTCTAAGAGCAGGGCCAACTCTATTGCTTCTTAATGCAACGTATTGTGTCCTGCCCCGGTGCCTGCTGATAGAGCTAGCCCATGGGTAACGCTAAGATTTCATTGGGCAGTCCAAAAGAAAATGTAGATCTAGACTACGGCTAACTTCTGGGCGTGTTTCCTGGGCAGTAAAAGCTCCCTCTGCATTCTCCTACACAGTGCATAATCTCATTTATTGAAAGAGAAAAGGAAGCCCGAAAACAAACATTGTTATTTTGTCATCTGCAAATAGCAGGTTTTTCTTAGCAATAACGACTTTTCTTTTTCTGTATAAACAAAAGTGCAATGTGAATGGGACAAAAAGTAAGAAACAGAAGCATAGGGTATGGGCGGGAGCTTTGGTAGGCTGATGTGTTTCCACCAGGGGTAGACTCTGCACAAGCAATACAGGTAACAGAGATGAATACAATTAATGCTGCCCACTTTTCCACAATTTACAATACATTTGTGCTTCAGTATGCAGCTAAGTGAAACTGGTTCCATAATTGTCTTTGCAGATAATTGTTTAACAGACTTCTTAAGTTCTGAAAAGGTGTGGCAGTAAGCAGTAATTTGGAGGGCAAAATAGGCTTTAAGCAGGAGCGGCGCCAGGGTTTTTGGCGCCCTAGGCGGGGTCCTTCTGCACTCCCGGTCGGCGGCGGCAATTCGGTGGCGGGGGTCCTTCCGCGCTCCCGGTCTACGGGGCACTTCGGCGGCGGGTCCCGGAGCAAGTGAAGGACCCACTGCAGAATTGCCGCCGAAGACCCGGAGCGCGGAAGGACCCCCCGCCGCCGAATTGCTGACGAGGGTGGCAAAATGCCACCCTCCCCAAATCCTGGTGCCCTAGGCAACCGCCTAGGTCGCCTAAATGGAAGCACCAGCCCTGGCTTTAAGAATAGCCACAGAAAATTATTTAGGGCTCGACTGTGACTTGGAGTACATGCCTGTGCAAGAGAGTAAAAGCAAATGACAACAACCCCCTTAAAACCCTGTATGGTCTACCTGGACCTTGAATCCAGGCACGCAGCAATAAGTAAGTGCTGTATACCTACTTACTCCGTCTTCAGGATATGTAAACACAATGGAGAGAGGTGGGGCAGAATCTTAGCTCTGCTCCCCACTCACTGGCCAATCCAACTGGAGCAAGTGTGTTATAGTTAGCTGCTGATGTTGACATTCCACACAGAGCAAGGAGGAAGCAAGAATTGTGACTGGAAGGCCTCCTGGGGTGGTGCAGTTCAAGGATGTGCCTAAACTCACTTCACAGAACATAAGATCCAGTACCGAAGTACTGAGCATGCACCGTGAGGTGTTGATTCCCCTACTCTCGTACTGACTGCAGGCAGAGATCAGTTCAGTTCCTTACAGGATCCGCCCTTATTGTATAGTTGCACTTCAAAACATGTTCTTGTTTGCAATGTTCTTTTGAATTTAGTCCATCTATCTGGCCTACTCCTGCATTACTAAAATTATAAACTACCGATTCAGGCAGCAATCATATTAGTAGATAAGCAAACCTCTCCTTTCATTACTGTTTTTTGCTACCTTCATTCTAGCTAAATCAAGGGCCGTATACTTTTCAAAAGCAGCAATGGTTAAAAAGTTGATGGCTGATTTTCAGAGTTATTGGTTGTCTGCAACTCCTGTTAAGTTCATTAGAAGCCGAAGGTATCGAGTACCTCTGAAAATCGAGCCTTAACAGTGCATGCTCTCTCTCTGCAAGGCTGTTCTTGTGCAGATGCTTAGTGGATCTATGGTAAAAATCATTATTGTGCCATGTATCAAAAGACCTTTTTTAATGGGGGATTTGAGATATTTCTGTGTTCTCTGTTAAGTTTCCGGAATAAATAACAGTACTAAACAATTGGATTTCCTATGAAAGAGTTGAATTCTAAATAGGGGATGTAGCTCCTGCCCAAAGCAACTACATTGCAACCCGCTTAATGTCATGATTTGCTTTGTTTGATTTCATATCACACTTTAAGAGTAAAGAAGGATTGCTATGTACTGGTTATTAACTTAATTTTATGGTATTATTTTTAGCCTTACCCAAACCTCCAGGAACTCCTGTGGTGACGGAAAGCACAGCAACAAGCATAACGTTGACTTGGGATTCTGGGAACCCTGAGCCAGTCTCTTACTACATAATCCAACATAAACCTAAAAACTCTGAGGAACTGTATAAAGAAATTGATGGGGTGGCTACAACACGCTACAGTGTTGCAGGTCTAAGCCCATATTCAGAATATGAATTCAGGGTAGTTGCTGTAAATAATATTGGACGGGGCCCACCCAGTGAGCCAGTGTCAACAAGGACCTCAGAACAAGCACCATCTAGTGCACCTCGCAGTGTACAGGCTCGTATGTTGAGCTCAACTACAATTTTGGTACAATGGGAAGAACCTGAGGAACCAAATGGCCAAATTCAAGGATACAGAGTTTATTACACCATGGACCCCACCCAACATGTCAACAGCTGGATGAAACACAATGTGGCTGACAGCCATATCACCACTATTGGAAATTTAGTACCACAGAAAACATATTCTGTGAAGGTTCTTGCTTTTACTTCTGTCGGGGATGGACCCCTCTCTACTGACATTCAAGTCATCACTCAGACAGGAGGTAAGACTGCAATATGGTGGAATAAATTACATACATGTAGAAATTGGGCAGACAGTATTTGAGTGAGTGAATGTTGGGAAATAAATACTCCCAAGAGATGTCCAAAGTTTTCTTTTGATCTTCCAAAATGTTGCCCATTAAAAGGCATCATTCATAAACCATCTTTCAGCCCTTGCAGTCATTAAAATGGAGGAAATTGTCTTTATCGTCAAATCTTCCATTCCCTTTTTCAGCAATGTATAAATCTCGAACAACTCTACCAAAGCAACAGTATTCTAAGTGAGACTGTGGAGAAAGCTAAATGTGGTGGCCACTGCTTGGCTACGACAGGACCTCTAATGCTAAGTACCACACTATGTTTGTCCAGCAGTTATTAGCTGGCATTTTAGTGGCCTTGTCCTTGAATATTCTGTGGAGTTGATTTTAATTTAGATTGTATACGGGGCATCATATGTTAGATCATTTTTGTTAACATTGATTTGGAAATGTAAAATACGTATATACCACACATACACGCACATACGTATACACATACTTATATCTCTGTGTGTTGAAAATGTTTAAAATCATTAAAACAGTGTATATGCACACAGAAGCACATCCTCACACTTCTGATTTATAAACCTCCCTTCCCCACTCATCAACGGAAAGCACCACCGTTCTAGGTAAAACAAGGTTACTATTTCTTTGTTTTATATTTGCAGGTAGGTTTTGTTTGTGTACAGGACCTTTAGGTCTATGAGTTAATTTTATTATCAAATCATTAGCAAGCTCAGTGAATGCAAAGAATATTTATGAAATCAAAAGCCACAAATGCTGGTCGTGCTAAACTGCAGAAATTATTTTATTGTAGCTCTATGGAATAAAAACTCCCTATTGTTTACTGTCCTAGAACAAGATGTGTGAAATATGCCATAGTTCAGTGGTCACCTAGAAATATAGAATGCTACTTGTAAGTCAGTTGAATTTTTTAGCACTAGCAAAGTTTCTTGTGGTAGAAGTTCAAGGTCCCTCAACTTTTGAAAAACATGTCTCCAAAATATAACTCAAGGCATTGGATCAAACTCTGCCATTGTTTACCTGCATGCAAATCCATTGACTTCTGTGGAGTTACATGTGTGTAAATGGAGAACAGAATTTGATCCGTTGTCTTGGAATTTCTGCAAGTACTGTGTACTGGGGAAATGTGTGTTCAGTTTTTAAAATTATTTAAAATTAGAAGTTTATTCATTAGCATTTCTAATTGATTGATGATTGATATTTGTATGTATATTTAGATAGTGAATACTAATTCTGGCTTTTGATATATTTGTGACATTTTTCAGAGGCTTGTCTTTAGATTGCCATATTGCTTTCCCCTTTCTAGCTCTTAGTGTGATAGATTGTATTAGATGGAGACACAACAAGCTGTTCATCCATTTTGTTCAGTAAGGGCCTGGTTCTGCTCTGTTTGAGGTCAGTAGGAGTTTGTCATTAACTTCAACGGAGCAACTATTTCCTGCTGTGGTCCAGTTGGAATGACCCAAGTTATGTTACTGAGCATAGTCACCTGAGGAGTTCTCCATGTATTTAAACATTTCTGGCATCCTTGTGTTGTTAAAACTGGATCACTTAACATGCCCTCCTGTGCTGTTTCTTCTTGCTGCTGTAACATGAAGAAGTCCTGATAATGATGATGCTATTGGAGTGATTCTCAATGCCAGTGTTTTCACTTTGCGAACTGACTTGACCTGACATTTTATTTTTACACTGTCTCATAAAAACAACAGTTTTGAGAGAGGAGAGGCTTTTCAAAGCATGAGCCTGATGGAAAATGCATAGAAGCATGTGAACATTTTGAATTTCTGCAAGTACTGTGTACTGGGGAAATGTGTGTTCAGTTTTTAAAATTATTGAAAATTAGAAGTTTATTCATTAGCATTTCTAATTGATTGATGATTGATATTTGTATGTATCCAACAGGATAGGGGTAGGGAAGTTGGACCTAGTACAGCACTCCAGCAGGGGTGCTGCAAGTAGGGATGCTGGGGTACAGCAGCACCTCCTAACTTGAAGTATTTTCCATCATATACAGGGTTTACAGTTTTGTTCAATGGCTTTGGGAACCCCCACTATACAAATTGTTCCAGCGCCAGTGCACTCCAGCTTATAGCAGCACCAAACTTTAGGAAAGCTTTAAATCTGAACCTCGATCTGGATCCAAATTTAGTGAATGGTCCATCTTTGTAATGAGATTAATGAAAACTTCAGATACATATCCTCCCTCCTCTAAAAACTGGAGTATTCAAATTAGGATCTGGATTTTGTGGCTTGAATCTCTCTCTCTCTCTCTCTCTCTCTCTCTCGTGTGTACATGTGTGTATATATAAAAATATACACACACAGAGAGAATGCCATAAGAAGCAGGACCTGGAATGATGGCTGGGTTTGGGGTTGTTTTTTGTTTGTTTGTTTTTCTCTGTATAGAACTTAAAAACACATGAATAATTATTTCAGTTGTGTAAGCTATCACTTGATGGACCAAATAATGCTCCCATGGAAGTCAAAGACAAAACTCCAATTGACTTCACTGGGACCAGCATTTGTGTCCTAGAGTTTGATTGACAGCAGTGCCATTCAATATTTTGATAGCTTGGTTTCCTTCAAAGCCTTTTCCTATTATGTGCATTGTGATCATTGGGAGGCAGGAAAATGTTCTGAGGATTTTGAAAATAAACACATTTGGAAGGGTTTTATTTTCAGCACCAGCATAATAAATATTCAAGTTGAATATGACAAAATGGTGCTAAAGAAACAGGCATCTTGATTTTTACTTCTCACTTTATAGGTCATCTGAGTAGATCTGGTCAAAAATTTAATTGAAACTTTTTCAATGAAAAATTTGGTTTTCTAATAAACGATTTTTTTCTGCTTCCATTGAAAACTTTACCTTTTTATGAAAAACCTGAACACCCTGAAAAACACAAAGTTTTAGATTTGGAACCATAATCTAAATGTTAAGTTCAGCTCGGTTCTCATTAAAATATGTCCTCCTGAGCTGCCACGGTGCATCATAGGAGTAGTAATTCGGGTACCTCATGCCCACAATCTTCTTTATGGGCTAGACTCTATGCCCAAACTACATCTCCTATGGTGCACCACAGCTATGGGACTTTTATGGTGCATCTCAGTGGTTCAACAAGAGAGGAGATTATGGGCCTCATGTAAGAGTCCAACCAGGGATCCCAGCTCACTGCGGATAATGGCATGGCACAAGACATGCAAACTACAATTCCCAAGAGCCACTGCGGCAGCTCAAGCAGACATGGTTAAATATCTAACTAATCCCAAACAAAACAATTCAATTAAGATGTTGGCCACAAATATTTGGTTTTTCTTTCTTTTTTCTTTCTTCATCAAAAAGATGATTTTTCCATGGCATGTATTAGAACTCTCCCAAGTTGTTTTTATTGTGGGCTGTGGTTCAGTTTCACATAAGTGGGGTCAGGGTAAAATATTGTAGCTCTCTAACTGAGAGACTATCATGTCTTAGAAAATCACTTACTATTCAAAGCAGTGGCTCAAATATATATTTTAAGGAGTGACTTGTCCAGAAAAGGGGATTTTTGACTGCTAGGATGGAATGGCAGTCTACATTTCATTCTTTTTTGTCTAAGGATAACTATTTTTTCTAAACTGTGAGCAGTTGAAAGTATTGTCTTTGTTGTATAATAAGCTGCAACTTGTTTAAAAGAGTAGCTTAAATCTGTGTTCTCGGGTATTGTTTTCCTTGCATTTCTTTAACTACAGTAAATCCAGGCAGATGACATCCTGATTTCTTATGGTTTACAGTTGTTCTGTTCTTTCACCATACAGCTTGGAAAAGCCTCTTGATCTTACATTATGAAGATGTCAGCAGCAACTCCATAGTTAAGGTTGCATTTAGTTTTCAAAGTTGGGGTTTCAGTCTGTTTGTCATTGACTAAAGCAAATATTTGCCATAATCAAATTTAACACACGGCTGTTAGAGAGCTGTTGTATATTTGTGGAAAGTTACAAGTAAACACTTTGGAAGAGTTTGAAGGAGTTTTAAAATAATTCCCTTTTGAAGAATAAGGACTGGTATCTAACATGCTTTTTATATCCCTGTAACTTACAATTGCCTTGTTTTTAACACTTGTACATTTAACATGCAGAGGTTAATATAAAAAAAATGAAAACAAAAATAATTATAATTCTTCATCACTATTATGATATTTCTGCCATTGAAACAAATGGATAACATTTTCACCATGAATAGCCAACATTTTAAAAAAATATAGCTATTAAAAGCCAACATAGAAAATGTTAGAGCAGATGCCAGTAGGTTTGTGTAGAAAGACCCTGATCCTGCATCGTTAACATCAGTGGGAGCTTTGCCCCTGACATCAATGACTGGAGGATCAAGCCATGTATGTTCTCTAAATGATTTGACTCCTGCAAATGCTGGACTTCAGCATGGACAAATTCATATATACTGAATTGTGATGTTCTCTCCTAATTTATGTTGCCCCATCAGTAAACTATGTCTCTCATGCCTGGTCCCCATTCACAGCTAATTCACTACAGAACTCGCTAGTTACATTTTCCCTGAAACACAACCCTCACTTTTTTAATTTTCTCAAACCAGCCCCTCATCCACATGCCAGAGCAGACTCCAGGTGCATCCTTCATCTTGCACACCTCATAAAAAAAATCTTCCGGCTGGGTGTCAGGGCCAGGGGTGTTCCTAAACTCTGCAGAGAGGGGAAAGTTACTGAGGAGGAAAAAAGGATCTTACTTTTATTAGCTTCCCAGAGCAGGAAGAACCACTATGTAGGGATTGGGAGCATTGCAGGGAGAACCAGAGACTCCACAGGACAGGGAATTCCAGGAGGCATAGATAACTATGGGGAAACTCCTAGATTTAAAAAAAAAAATTACTGTATAAAACACATTGTTAACTCTAAGCTAAGGATGTTACTTAACATGAAAGTTAAAGT